GGTGACCAACCTGGTACTAGAAAGGTGTACCTAATAAAGTGGCCGGAGTGTGTGTGTGTGCATATATATATATATATATATATATATATATATATATATATATAAAAAAAAGATTTCAAAAACTGCTAATCTATTGGGATTATCAACGGCAGTTATGTGGACAAAAATGCCTTGTTACGAGGTCAGAGGAGAATGGGCAGAGTGGTTTGAGATTTTAGAAAGGCAATAGTAACTCAAATCCACTCGTTACAACCAAGGTATGCAGAATACCATCTCTGAAAGCACAACACATCGAACCTTGAAACAGATGGGCTACAGCAGCAGAAGACCACACCGGGTGCCACTTGTCAGCTAAGAACAGGAAATAGATGCTACAATTAGCACAGGCTCACCAAAATTGGATAATAGTAGATTGGTAAAATGTTGCCTGGTGAGATGAGTCTTGATTGCCCTAGAAATGGTTGTGCTTGAAAATCCCAGTAGATCAGCAGTTTTTGAAATACTCAGAGCAGCTTGTCTGGTACCAACAACCATGCCATGTTCAAAGTCACCTATATTTTCTTTCTTCCCCATTCTGATGCTTGGTTTGAACTTCAGCAAGTCTTCTCCATCACATCTAGATGCCTAAATGCATTGAGTTGCTGCCATATGATTGGTTGATCAGCAATTTGTGTTACAAAGCAATTAAACAGGTGCACCTAATAAAGTGGTCGGTGAGTGTATATATATATATATATATATACAGTTAGGTCCATATATATTTGGAACAAAGGACAAAAACCAAAGTGCACCAACCTCAGTGAGTAAAGGGTAAATTTATTGAATTGAGATATATATTCACAAAAGTAGCAATATTAAAAGCATATAAAATCCAACATCAGTGCACTGGGATAGCAGACACACGTGCGGGTCCCATTGAGAGGGGAGACTCTCAGGATGAAGCTGACGTGTTTCGAAGGGTGATCCCTTCTTCCTCAGAGCTCTGAGGAAGCAGGGATAACCCTTTGAAACACGTAAGTTTAATCATCAATAAATTTACCATTTACTCACTGAGGTAATGCGCAAGGTTGGTGCACTTTTGTTTTTGTTCTTCATTATAGCTGTTATTGGGCTTCCCCAGCCTTGTGTTAGAACTGCACAACCTTTGATCGGCCACTTGATGAATTTTCATATATGGTTCAACCCGCTGAATTCTGATCTGGGTCTCTGAGCACAGGAGGTTTTGTTTATGTTTCCATATATATTTGGACACAGGCACAATTTTCATACTTTTGGCTCTGTATGCCACCAGAAAAAATTAAAACAAAACAATCCAAATGAATTTGAAGTGCTTTCAGCTTTAATTTAAAGGATTGAACATAAATATCAAGTACAAATTTTAGGAACTGCAACCGTTTTTATACACAGTCCCTCCATTTTCAGGGGCTCAAATGTAAGTGGACAAATAAATATAATCATAAATAAAATGTTCATTTTTAATATTTTGTTGAGAATCCTTTGCTGGCAATGATTGCTTGAAGTCTGGTTTCCTCCTTTCTGCTGCTTTGCCAGGCTCTAACTGCAGCTGTCTTCATTTGTTCTTTGTTTGTGGGTCTTTCTGCCTTTAGTTTTGCCTTTAGCAAGTGAAACGCATGCTCAGTTGGGTTGAGATCAGGTGATTGACTTGGCCATTGCAGAATATTCCACTTCTTTTCCTTCAAAAGCTTCTGGGTTTCTTTTGCAGTGTGTTTTGGATCATTGTCCATCTGTACTGTGACGCGCCATCCAATCAACTTTGCTGCATTTGGCTGAATCTGGGCTTACAGTATATCTCTAAACATTGCAGAATTCATCCGGCTGCTTCTGTCTTCTGTCACATCATCAATAACCACAAATGACGCAGTACCATTGGAAGCCATGCATGCCCATGCCATCACACTACCTCCACCATGTTTTACAAATGACGTTGTGTGCTTTGGATCATGAGCTGTTCCAAGCCTTCTCCACACTTTTTCTTCCCATTATTCTCGTACAGATTAATCTTAGTTTCATACGGCCAAAGAATGCTTTTCCAGAACTGGTCTGGCTTTTTTTAGATTTTTTTTTTGGCAAAGTCTAATCTGGCTTTTCTATTCTTCAGGCTTATGAATGGTTTGCACCTTGTGCTGAACCCTCTGTATTTGTTCTCCTGAAGTCTTCTCTTGATTGTAGACTTTGACAATGATACGCCTACCTCCTGGAGAGTTTCCTTCACTTGTCTGGATGTTGTGAATGGGTTTTTCTTTACCATAGAGATTACACTGCGATCTTCCACCACTGTTGTCTTCCGTGGACGTCCATGCCTTTTTATGTTGCTGAGCTCACCAGTGCGTTCTTCTTTCCTCAGAATGTACCAAGCTGTTGATTTGGCCACTCCTAATGTTGCTGCTATCTCTCTGATGGATTTGTTTAGTTTTTGAAGCCTTACAATGGCCTGTTTCACTTGCATGGATGCTCCTTTGAATGCATGATGTACAGTGGGGATCGAAAGTTTGGGCACCCCAGCTAAAAATTTGTATTAATGTGCATAAAGAAGCCAAGGAAAGATGGAAAAATCTCCAAAAGGCATCAAATTACAGATTAGACATTCTTATAATATGTCAACAAAAGTTAGATTTTATTTCCATCATTTACACTTTCAAAATAACAGAAAACAAAAAATGGTGTCTGCAAAGGGGACAGTACAAGTTAATATCTTGTACTGCCCCTTTGGCAAGTATCAGAGCTTGTAAACGCTTTTTGTAGCCAGCCAAGAGTCTTTCAATTCTTGTTTGAGGTATCTTTGCCCATTCTTCCTTACAAAAGTCTTCCAGTTCTTTGAGATTTCTGGGCTGTCTGTCACGCACTGCTCTTTTAAGGTCTATCCATAGATTTTCAATTATGTTGAGGTCAGGAGATTGTGAAGGCCATGGCAAAACCTTCAGTTTACGCCTCTTGATTAGAGATGAGCGAAGTATTCAAAAATTCGATTCGGCTGATTCGGCGAATTTGCGGAATAAATTCGATTCGAGTTGAATATATTTGCTGCGAATTTAACTTATAAAAAGGGTGTTTCTAGGCTTCAGAGAGCCTTTATATTAGTGCAGAACACTGTACCTTTAATTTAAATGCCCTTGGAGTCTGCTGGGGAAGAGAAATAATAGTCTGCTGGGGATCTTAGAATCAGCACATTCATCTGTCAGTCGGGGCCATGACATGCTGTGAGTGCCGTCGATCTTAGAATCACCGCACACTTCACTCATTTGGGCAGTCACGGGGCCTAAAAACCAGAGTGTGGAGCCACAGTGTGGCGGTGGAGGCAGCAGCAATGGGAGGCCGTACAGGGACCCATGAGACACTCTGGACCTGGCAGCAGCAAGAGGAGGCGGTACAGGGGCCCATGGCAGAGTGGCGAAGCGTAAGCAGCTTAAATTGAAGGCCATACAGAGGCCTATGTTAAAAATAATAACATGTTTGAGGCATGATTCATGGCGGATTTAGTCAGTTGTGTCAGGAACTGGTGGTTTGAAATCCAGACTAATCCACGCCTGATTCATTTTCACAAACGTGAGTCTCTCCACACTTTGGGTGGACAGTCGTGTCCTCCGCGGAGTTACAATACCTCCTGCCGCACTAAACACGCGCTCCGATGCCACGCTACTGGCCGGGCATGACAGCCTTTCAAGGGCAAATTCAGCTAGTTGGGGCCAAAGGTCAAGTTTTGTTGCCCAGTAGTCAAGGGGATTGTCTACCTCGGTTGGCAGGGTGCTGTCCAAGTAGGCCCATGCCTGTTGTTTGAGGTCCTGCTCCAGGTCCACCTGATGCTGCTGCTGCTGTGGCTGGTTAGTAGTTTCCTCACTGCGCTGGTGAAGAAAGCTACTCATCATCGACTGCAGACTGAGGCAGCCGCTGCTGGTGGAGCTGCCACTGCTCCTACCACCCCACTCCTCCCCTGCTGCCATGGCAGCGGAACACGAGCACACAGGGCCCACAGTGTCTGAGGATGGACGTTGGCGCAGAAAGGCAGAGACCAACTGACTACATAGGTGGTTTTTATAGTACGTTATTTTGGCCTCCCTCTCAGCAGGTGTGAAAAAGGCCACCATTTTTGAACGGTAGCGAGGGTTCAACAAGGTGGACAGCCAAAAGTCATCCCTCTGTCTGATGGTTCTTATTCGGCTGTCGTTACGCAAGCAAGCGAGCATGCTATGGGCCATTTGTGCCAAGGAATGCGAGGGACTCCCTGCCTCCATCTCCACAGCATACTGCCACGGTGCGTCTGAGTCCTCTGTCTCCTCCTCCTCCTCTACCAGATGCTCCTCCACTCCTGTCCGCTGAGTGGAAAAACCACCCATTTCACTCAATAATTCCTGAGCACCAATGTCCTCCTCTACCTCCTCCTCTTCTTCCTGTCCTGCCCCCACAGGGGTCATGTGGCGTTGAGATCTGTGCGCCACGTCTACCGCACCCTGACCAGCCATTGTTAACAGCATTTGTTCCAGGACGTGCAACAGAGGAATGACGTCGTTCATCCCATAGTCCTGCCGACTCACGAATAGCGTGGCCTCCTCAAAGGGCCTGAGCAAGCGGCAGGTGTCACGCATGAGCTGCCAATAGCTGACATCTAAGTTACACAGGGGAGTACCTTTATCCGCTTGTAACATCAGGAAATCGGTGATGGCCTTTCGCTGTTCGTAAAGGCGGTTAACATACGTAGGGTTGAATTCCACCTTGTTGCAACGTCACAGCATGAGGAGTCGGTACGGGGGCCGATGGCAGATTACTGGCCTGGCAGCAGCAATGGGAGGCCCGTAATCTGCCAGCACCCTATGACAAAATGGAACCCACCAGCAGTGTGAGGAGACCTGAAAGTGGCACATGGCAGAGTGTGGCGATGGAGACAGCAGCAATGGGAGGCCGTACAGGGACCCATGACACACTCTGGACCTGGCAGCAGCATGAGGAGGCGGTACAGGGGCCCATGACAGATTACGGGCCAGGCAGCAGCATGAGGAGTCGATACGGGGGCCCATGGCAGATTACGGGCCTGGCAGCAGCAATGGGAGGCCCGTAATCTGCCAGCACCCTATGACAAAATGGAACCCACCAGCAGTGTGAGGAGACCTGAAAGTGGCACATGGCAGAGTGTGGCGATGGAGACAGCAGCAATGGGAGGCCGTACAGGGACCCATGACACACTCTGGACCTGGCAGCAGCATGAGGAGGCGGTACAGGGGCCCATGACAGATTACGGGCCAGGCAGCAGCATGAGGAGTCGATACGGGGGCCCATGGCAGATTACGGGCCTGGCAGCAGCAATGGGAGGCCCGTAATCTGCCAGCACCCTATGACAAAATGGAACCCACCAGCAGTGTGAGGAGACCTGAAAGTGGCACATGGCAGAGTGTGGCGATGGAGACAGCAGCAATGGGAGGCCGTACAGGGACCCATGACAGATTACGGGCCTGGCAGCAGCATGAGGAGGCATGACAGGGGTACAGGGGCCCATGACAGATTACGGGCCTGGCAGCAGCAATGGGAGGCCCGTAATCTGCCAGCACCCTATGACAAAATGGAACCCACCAGCAGTGTGAGGAGACCTGAAAGTGGCACATGGCAGAGTGTGGCGATGGAGACAGCAGCAATGGGAGGCCGTACAGGGACCCATGACACACTCTGGACCTGGCAGCAGCATGAGGAGGCGGTACAGGGGCCCATGACAGATTACGAGCCTGGCAGCAGCATGAGGAGGCGGTACAGGGGCCCATGACAGATTACGGGCCTGGCAGCAGCAATGGGAGGCCCGTAATCTGCCAGCACCCTATGACAAAATGGAACCCACCAGCAGTGGGAGGAGACCTGAAAGTGGCACATGGCAGAGTGTGGCGATGGAGACAGCAGCAATGGGAGGCCGTACAGGGACCCATGACACACTCTGGACCTGGCAGCAGCATGAGGAGGCGGTACAGGGGCCCATGGCAGATTACGGGCCTGGCAGCAGCAATGGGAGGCCTGTAATCTGCCAGCACCCTATGACAAAATGGAACCCACCAGCAGTGTGAGGAGACCTGAAAGTGGCACATGGCAGAGTGTGGCGATGGAGACAGCAGCAATGGGAGGCCGTACAGGGACGCATGACAGATTACGGGCCTGGCAGCAGCATGAGGAGGCGCTTCCGTATAGTACAGGGGCCCATGACAGATTACGGGCCTGGCAGCAGCAATGGGAGGCCCGTAATCTGCCAGCACCCTATGACAAAATGGAAACCACCAGCAGTGTGAGGAGACCTGAAAGTGGCACATGGCAGAGTGTGGCGATGGAGACAGCAGCAATGGGAGGCCGTACAGGGACCCATGACACACTCTGGACTTGGCAGCAGCATGAGGAGGCGGGGGGGTACAGGGGCCCATGGCAGATTACGGGCCTGGCAGCAGCAATGGGAGGCCCGTAATCTGCCAGCACCCTATGACAAAATGGAACCCACCAGCAGTGTGAGGAGACCTGAAAGTGGCACATGGCAGAGTGTGGCGATGGAGACAGCAGCAATGGGAGGCCGTACAGGGACCCATGACAGATTACGGGCCTGGCAGCAACATGATGAGGCGTACAGGGGCTTCTTATAGCCTTCTCCAGCTTTGTGAGCGTCAACTATTTTTTAGTTTCAGTTTTCTAGACAACTGCTTAGAAGAACCCATGGTGCTGTTTGTTGGGGCAAGGTCAGATGAGTCTGGGCATTTAAAACCTTTGAGATTGACATCACCTGGTCTTCCCAGACCATGCTTGAGAACAATCCATGACACTGGCAGGTCTCAGCTTGGCAAAGGGGGCAGTGCATGCTATAAATTCTGCAGGGTGCCCAAACTTTTGCAGACGCCATTTTTTTGTTTTCTGTTATTTTGAAAGTGTAAATGATGGAAATAAAATCTAACTTTTGTTGACATATTATAAGAATGTCTAATCTGTAATTTGATACCTTTTGGAGATTTTTCCATCTTTCCTTGGCTTCTTTATGCACATTAATACAAATTTTTAGCTGGGGTGCCCAAACTTTCGATCCCCACTGTAGTTTCACAGCAATAGATTCCAAATGCTAATACTACAGCTAGAATCAACTCCAGACCTTTTACCTGCTTAATTGATGAAGAAATAACAAAGGAGTAGCCGACACCTGGCCATTAAACAGCTTTTGATTCAATTGTCCAATTACCTTTGGTCCCTTTAAAAAGGGGGATGGCTAATCTTAAAAGCTGTAATCCCTAAACCCTTTCTCCAATTTGGATGTACATACCCTCAATTTAAACCTGAGAGTGTGCACTTTCAGCCCATATCCATTATATACCTATAGCTTGAAAATGTTTTGGCAAATACCTGAAAAAAGCTAAAATTGTGCCTGTGTTCAAATATATATGGACCTAACTGTATATATATAGGTGAAACTCTAAAAATTTGAATATCATGCAAAAGTTCATTTATTTCGGAAATGCAACTTAAAAGGTGAAACTAATATATGAGATAGACTCATTACATGCAAAACAAGATAGTTCAAGCCGTGATTTGTCATAATTGTGATGATTATGGCTTACAGCTCATGAAAACCCCAAATGCACAATCTCAGAAAATTAGAATATTGTGAAAAGGTGCAATATTCTCGGCTCAAACTGTCCCACTCTAATCAGCTAATTAAGCCATAACACCTGCAAAGGGTTCCTGAGCGTTTAAATGGTATTTCAGTCTGGTTCATAAGGAATCACAATCATGGGAAAGACTGCTGACCTGACAATTGTGCAGAAATCCATCATTGACACCCTCCATAAGGAGGAAAAGCCTCAAAAGGTAATTGCAAAAAAAGTTGGATGTTCCCAAAGTGCTGTATCAAAGCACATTAATAGAAAGTTATGTGGAAGGGAAAAGTGTGGAAGAAAAAGGTGCAAAAGCAGCAGGGATGATCGCAGCCTGGAGAGGATTGTCAGGAAAAGGCCATTCAAAAGTGTTGGGGACTTTCACAAGGAGTGGACTGAGGCTGGAGTCAGTGCATCAAGAGCCACCACTCACAGACAGATCCTGGACATGGGCTTCAAATGTCGTATTCCTCTTGTCAAGCCGCTCCTGAATAAAACAACGTCAGAAGCGTCTTACCTGAGCTAAAGAAAAACAGACCTGGTCTGTTGCTCAATGGTTCAAAGTCCTCTTTTCTGATGAGAGCAACTTTTGCATCTCATTTGGAAACCAAGGACCCAGAGTATGGAGGAAGTATGGAGAGGCACACACTGCAAGATGCTTGAAATCCAGTGTGAAGTTTCCACAGTCTGTGTTGATTTGGTGTTGGTCCACTGTGCTTCATTAAGTCCAGGGTCAACACAGCCATCTACCAGGAGATTTTGAAGCACTTCATGCTTCCTTCTGCAGACAATCTTTATGGGGATGCTGACTTCATTTTCCAGCAGGACTTGGCACCTGCCCACACTGCCAAAAGCACCAAAACTTGGTTCAATGACCGTGGGATTACTGTGCTTGATTGGCCAGCAAACTCGCCTGACCTGAACCCCATAGAGAATCTATGGGGCATTGCCAAGAGAAAGATGAGAGACATGAGACCGAACAATGCAGAAGAGCTGAAGGCCGCTATTGAAGCATCCTGATCTTCCATAACACCTCAGCAGTGCCACAGGCTGATAGCTTCCATGCCACGCCACATTGAGGCAGTAATTGCTGCAAAAGGGGCCCAAACCAAGTACTGAGTACATATGCATGCTTATACTTTTCAGAGGTCCCATATTGTTCTATGTACAATCCTTGTTTTATTGATTGTATGTAATATTCAAATTTTCTGAGATTGTGGATTTGGGTTTTCATGAGCTGTAAGCCATAATCATCACAATTATGACAAATCACGGCTTGAACTATCTTGCTTTGTATGTAATGAGTCTATCTCATATATTAGTTTCACCTTTTAAGTTGCATTACTGAAATAAATTAACTTTTGCACGATATTCTAATTTTGAGTTTTTTAGCTGTGTATATATATATATATATATATATATATATATATATATATATATATATGTATGTATGTATGTATGTATGTATGTATATATACTGTGCACACAATTATTAGGCAAGTCAGATTTTTTGACCAAACCATCATTTTTTATGCATATTGTCCAACCCCAAGCTGTGTAATCTTTAATGCTTATTGTATTTAAGCATATCAGGTGATGTGTATTTATGTAATGAGGGATTGTGAGGACTAAGGATATCTACACCCTATATCAAGGTGTGCATAATTATTAGTCAGATTCTTTTCCTCAGGCAAAATGGACCAAAAAAGAGATTTAACTGACTCTGGAGAGTCAAAAATTGTAAAAGGTCTTTCAGAGGGATGCAGCACTATTGAAATTGTTTAGATATTGGGGCGTGATCACAGAACCATCAAACGTTTTGTTGCAAATAGTCAACAGGGCCGCAAGAAATGTGTTGAGAAAAAAAGATGCAAATTAACTGCCAAAGATTTGAGAAGAACCAAATGTGAAGCTACCAGGAACCCATTATCCTCCAGTGCTGTCATATTCCATAACTGCCACCTACCTGGAGTGCCCAAAACCACATGATGTTCAGTGCTGAGAGACATGGTCAAGGTAAGGAAGGCTGAAACCTGGCCACCACTGAACAAGACATGTAAGTTGAAACTTAAAGAAATATCTGAAGACAGATTTTTCAAAGGTTTTATGGACTGATGAGATGAGAGTGACTCTTGATGGACCAGATGAATGGGCCTATGGCTGGATCAGTAAAAAATCTCCACTTCAACTCAGAGGCCAGCATGGTAGAGGTGGGGTTCTGCTATGGGCTGGTATTACTGTAATACCAGCCCATACTGATGATTTGGTCAAAATACTTGCCTAATTGTTTTTATCGGCCACTAGAACAACTGCTCAGTCCTGGAGGAGTCTGTTAGTCCCTCTTCAGGGGGTGCGGGATCGTATGACCACTATGATGCTCAACA